GTATAAGTTCATCTTCCATATTTGTAAATCAGGACATTAATCAGAATATTTTCTAAATAGAACCGACTTTAATTGTTTTGTTCATCTTTGAGAGGAGATTAACATTTGTAGCAAACTATAATGGAAACAATTAATACAAGTCAAAATCAAAAAATTTACAAATATGTAATAAATAAATACTTTGTTTTATTATATTATAATGAAAATAGCAATATTCAAAGAATAAGGTATATAACCATTAAAGGTTGACAAAATCTAAATTACGTTGAAAAACATGATTATAACACGAAACAACAACAAATATGTTCTACATCATAGCTTAAACTCTGTGTTTGCTTTATAATAAAAATAGGACAATGTATACCGCATATTAACAGTAAAGAATGGTTCATTAACGTTTTAAAGTGTTATATATCAATTGCGTGTCATTAAAACATTTTCGAATTAAATGTTCACTAAGAGCACTCAAAATTATAACAGATATATACCCGATGACTAAGAGCTTTTCTGTCGACTTTCGTAAATTCATACACATTTTGCAACAGTACTTTAACCGTTATTTTGTTTACCAATCATTCAATTGCATAAAATGTGGAGTGTTTTGATTAACATACAAACTATTAGATCGACTAAAGTCAACTTTGCCTAATCAGTTTCAACTTTTGTTTAAGTACTGTTATGGTATCTTTAAACTTGAATTCACTATCTAAACACATCCCATTAAACATTTCAGTACCAAGTATATTATCTCGTGGGTAAAAAAGTATTAGGCAGATTCGTTTGGTTGTTTTTATTTTCTGAGGAGTTGCCTTCACCTCATTATACAATCAGTTAAGAATGACTTACTCACCAAGAAAACATTACAAATCAATGTAAACAAACATTATATTGTGATATAAATGAAATCTGTAGACCAATGTCCAGTTACTAGTTAAGTATGTCTGATATGTTTAGGCGTAATTCCGGCAACACTTGATATTGACATAGATTCTAACCTGCTGCAATATGCGTGAAGCTTCACGCCTCTACGACGACATATGTACACATCCCGTTTTGCATTCAAGATTTCAAATCTTCTTACAACTGGAAGTACCAATCGAGTCAACGGTAGTCGTGTGAATGTTCTGAACTTATTTACTATAAATGACTATACTTTTTAAAAAAAGCTTATGATAATTGTACAGACTCCAACGGGAGTGAGACCGGACAAGTTGACAAGGTACATTCTGAGGCAACAGAAGTTTACCAAATTGAATTTTCATATATAAATCCATGAACATAATGCAAAGAAAGTTGGAAATAAAAAATAAGAAACATTTCATGACTTAAAATGACGTTTTAATTGTATTAAAAATTCATTGCGGATTTTTGAAAGAGTTTAAAACTAGAAAAATAAGATCTCGACAGAAGAATGATCATCATCTTTCTTTAAAGAACAAATATGTGTACATGTATGTATGAAAATGATACTTGTAACAAATATTGTATAATCTGAATTTAAATTAGTAGATCGACATGTGTTTACTTTGTCTTATTAACAGAATGTCTTGAATCTTTCAAACGATGAAATAAAAAGATTTTCGATTCATTTTGTTTTTGCTTGGTGACGTTTTTGTTTATAGACTGTACCGAACGAGAAGATAAGATTGTGATGAATAAAGTGTGATGAATTATACTTACCTGTCTGTTTACAAACAGGGTACAACTGTACAAAAAAATAAGACGACACTTAGCACGACCGTATATTCCAATCTAACACATTTGTACGGCAAAATCAAATAAGAATTTAAAGAACATTGCATCTGTACCACATCCCAGAATATGATGAAAGACTAACCGTCATATAGTAAATCCCACATAAAGATGTTCACACGCAAGGCGCTTACATTGTATTGCTGCCGTTTATTTATTTATTTTTTAAATACGTTTTGATACAATGATGTTGCCTAAACTTAGCCGACAGATAATCAGTTATGTTTAATGTTGAAAGTACAAGATGGTCATTAAAACAGATGAGGCAGAACACTGTTTTCATAAACCGAAAATTTGGAACTTGAATACAAAACTTGCAAATTGATTTGTTTTTATTGTAAAGCTAGCAAAATATGGGGCTTGATAGGGGTTAAAAATACACACTATTAAATGAAATATACCATACTAGTAATATAATGGTTTACTTTTAATCTATTGACCTATAATGGTTTACTTTTACAAATTATGACTTGGATGGAGAGTTGTCTCATTGGCCCATCATACCACATCTTAAAAAAAAACCTTCCAAAACGATCTCAAAATACTTCACATATTATATTCCCAATAGCAGATAAACAATCACTATATAAGAAGTATTCGCAGTTTCTGCTAGTTAATTGTCGATTTTTTTTTCAATTATACATACACAACCTTTGCTTTGATTAAGGTACATTTTATTTGTTTTCTATAAGTACCTACTATTAAATATGAATGATCTTGTGAAATAACAATATTTAAACATAACTAAGAAATTTTAACCATTTTTAATTTTTGTTATATTATCAGCGCAGTGGTCCGATTCATTGTAATAAAATTGATACTAATATGTATATCATTAGTTACGTAGTGTGGTAGTGACCTAATACGATATATACATGGGGCCAGTAAATTCGATATGGAGTGATTTGATTTGATTTTTTGGTGTGTTAACGCCATTTTTAAGAACCGCTTTTGGGCTATTTCGTGGTGGCTAGTTTTTATTGGTGGAGGAAGCCGGAGTGCCCGGAGAAAATCATCAACCTTCGATAGGAAAACTGACAATCCTAGTCAATTAAGATTGGAGTCGAGTGCACCCGCACGAGCGGGGTTCGAACTCACAACCTCAGTGTTGACTGGCTTGGGATTACAGTAGTAAGTACTTAGACCGCTTGGCCACCGAGGCCCCTCAATATAAAGTGAGAGCAAAGGTCACTTGCACACTGTGAAACGACTTTATCCTACTGACTATCTTATCATGTTGCAAATAGGCTAGTGACCTATCCAAGAACCTACTTTTATTGGTCTAGACAAAACAAATGCAAACAATAACAACGTTTTAGCTTGTAAAGTATTTTCCGCATTCATTTCAATCGTTCATCACCAATTTTTTGTTTGTAGAAACGTTTCCTTCATTTTACATCGACGCCATATTGTTTTAATAAAGGAACGTAACACTACTGATCGTGTATTAGAATAAGCCACGCGTACTAACTCCATATGAAATATACATGCGGCAGTTTTTAACCAATGATATACTTAGAAATGTATCGAAGGTAAGATAAATATAAATACATAGTCATGTTGACAGGATCAAAGTCGGTACAGACAATATATATGACAGGGAATGGTGGGTGTTCCTCTGGTACCACTCTATATCTCGATAGGGGTTATCTGTTAAACAGATCAAACTATATAAATACGTAGTCACGTCTGATCAAATAAAGTAGACAATAATATAAATGTCCATATGGACTATTGGTGACAAGTTTCCTTTTGACTGATGGGTTTATTTATAAACAGTCGTGTTTGGTGCTTGGACGATAACTCGATATTCATATTTAGTTGGAGATAAATAAATTCTACTAATTTGAGAAAACAGGTTTCTCCAACTAAGTCTCTTTTTCCAATATGGCTTCAGTAAGCCTAGAATATAACAATTGTTGTCACCAATTTTTCCAATGATAATTCTAAGAGGAAACGTTTCCTGTAAATTCACGAGAATGCTTCAACATGCCTTTATATTAAATAAGTAAATGTATTATTCCCGCATCCTCAATTATAACATTATGTACGGTTCTTTTATTTTATTGTTTATGGTTGTCAAATTAAACTACAAAAAGTTTCAATGAGTTATATATGTAGCCAAGCACAAAGTTAGACATAATGCATGACAACATGTTGATTTAAGAATTCTCTAATATGCACCAATGTTGTGTATTCGGTCATATTTTTCTATTGACGGTTTTTAAATATTTAAATCACTCTAAACCGTAAGTCATTTCTATCGCACAGCAACGAATAACCAAAGTTGGCACATTTTTTTTATATATATATTTGTTTTTTCCATGTTCCTTTACTTGTTTGTCCATCCAGCTGACTTGCTTAAAAGGCCATGGATGAGTCTTGTATAAACGAAACGCGAGTTTGTCACATTTTAAGTATAAGCTTCATAACATTAAAACAAAGAGATGTAGTATGATTACCAATAAGACAACTATCCATAGTACCAAAGTTCATATGAAGTGAATGTAAGCAATACAATCGTAGGCAACCATAGGGCCTTCAACAACGATAAAAACCTATACCGTACAGTTTACATTATTTCTGTGTTTAATACTAGATTTACAACAAAGTAGAAACGAATTGTACAACAAAGAATGTTTTTGTCTTTTTACTTTTACTAATTGCATTAATATTGCACACACTTTGTGACTTTTAAAACGTTCTTGTGTTAGTGTTGTATGTGTAGAATCTGTACAACATTAAAAGTTGATGAAGCCGTGTTTTAAATGTTTTGTACTGTTCCTGGCTGATTTGTATGATATCTTCTTTTCTTTATAAGTATCTCTCTAGTCGTTTGACCCCGGTTGACATTTGTAAATATTCGATTGATCGAAAGTGGTATCATGTAATAATATTTGATATAGTTAGCATAATATTTTTTCATTGTAAATTTTAAATCGTCTATATATATATATATATATATATATATAACTATAAATCTCCATTATGAAATAAATAGTTAAAAGATTTCATTGGATTAATATTAAACACTTAATATTTCTTTATCGATACACCATATCTAAATGCATGAAAATCATTGAGGATTGCATTATTTAAGCTGTTATTCAAACTTTTATTCGTATATTTGTGAACATAACTGGAGTTGGTTGTTATATAGAATGGATATCTGTAAAATGACCAGAATGTTTCTATTTATTCTTTTGTTAAGCCATGTTTATGGTCAGACGTCGTCAAATATGAAACAATTATATACTGATATTTTTACAAGTTACCAATCATCAATTCTTCCGAATTCTGATTTTTCAGCACCATTACAAATAACACTGCAACCCTATTTGATGACCATTACTCAATTTCAGGAAGTGGAAGAAACTCTGGACGTGGCTTTAGGACTAATATCGACCTGGGTTGATGATGGATTGTCGTGGACTCCGTCATCATATGGTAATGCGGAATATATTATAGTGCCTCACACAGATGTGTGGACTCCAAAGTTTGTTCTTGTAAATTCCGTTGAAACATATGAACCTTTAGCAGGAGATAATGATATTTTTGCAACGATTTATCATAATGGAACTATGTCAATAGCTTATGGCGATGTTTTGTCATCGAAATGTACAGCCAATATATACAAGTTTCCATTTGATACTCAAACATGTGATCTGCAATTTGCCGTCTGGGGAATTACATCAAATGATATAACTTTAATAGCAAACCCTATTAGCTTAGCGTTCTACAATGAAAATTCAAATTGGGAACTAGATTCCTATAGTTCAAAATCTACGGTTATGAACGGATACTCTATGCTAATACTTACAATGACGATAAAGCGTGTGCCGTTGTACTACGTCATAATGGTAGCTTTGCCAACAAATTTGTTCTTTGTATTGAATCCGCTCGTGTTTCTACTTCCGGTTGAATCTGGTGAACGCTTAGGACTTGCGATGACAATATTATTATCGTATGCTATATTCCTGACAATGGTCCAAACGTCCATACCAGCATCTTCTAATCCAATGAGTGTTTTACTGATTATAATGATAGTGACTATTGTAATAAGCGGTATCACTGCTGCTGTAACTATTTTCATAGCGGCACTTTACCAAAGAGAACCACACGTTGAAATGAACTCTTTTTGGGAGTTCATCGGAACAAGGTTACCATGGAGTAGACGACATACACATGTACAGCCGTTGGTGAACAATGATGGAAAGGGGGATATGATTTCTTCACCGCTAGAGACAAGCATAACCTGGCAAGAAGTTTGTCATGCTCTAGATACACTTATGATGGTCATACTATATGCCAACATTTTCATTATTAATTGTGCATTTATGATAGCTGTATCTTAGTGATATGAAACATACGAATAAATAATGTGATGTGTATTATCAGATCAGTTTCACTGCTAACGTATGTTATCAGTTTAGTTGTGAATATGTTTGTATCTTTATAAACAAAAGTTTTATTTTTATTTTGGTATTTTGGTATTACATGTAATCTAAACAGTTGAATGCTGTGTTTTTTACTGTCAGCGATAGTTCATGATATACATGTAGTATGTTCTGATTAATTATAAAGCGTTTCGTACTAAACGAAAGCACACTACCAAGGAATGTGACATCGTGAAAAGTCAAATTATGTATAATTTATTAATTTATTAAAAACGGTTTGTCTTTAACAAAAAATGCTAAGATTCTTTAAGTTGTTTTATCTTATGTAAAAGAATAATACAAAATGGACAAAATTACAAAGATACAGAGGTGGTAGCAATCTTTACAGTCCAATTCCCCGTTCTAATTTTAATATACTGTGGTAAAATTCTCAATTGTTAAAACGCTCGTCGAAGGTATACACTTTAATTCTTCTATTTGAATTAATCACATGCTTTAAATGAATTAAATCGATATCAATATACAAATGGTAATTCGGACTATCGTTAAATCCTTTATTCATTACTTATGATTTTTATTAATATCAAAGATTTTATTAATATCAAAGAGATATAATGGAAAGAAATATAATACATAACCAAAAAATAGATGACCTTTGTTCTATTTGGCAAATTCATTCGAAATTTTGGGGTCTTCAATTCGTTCTTTATTTGACTTTTTTAACTTTTTTATTCGAGCTTCATTGATTAGTCTTTTGTAAACGACACGCGCGTCCTGCGTACAAAATTTGAAGCCTGGTATCTATGATGAGTTAATCATACCCAAAAGATTTCTACCAATATTATGGTAATGGAAACCTATGCGATGAAAAAAATATACTAAGTTAAACATTAAAACTTATATTACAAATCTATATGTGAATCAAACGTATTTCTTCCATAACCTTCATCAAATACAACCCATCAATATAAAGATTAGAAGATGGTGTATGATTACCAATATGACGAATTTTGACCAGAGACTGACTTACGTAGATATAAGCAAATATTGGGCAACATTCCTCCTTCAACAATTATCAAAATCCATATGGTATATTAAGTTATAACATGATCAGACATGAACAATTCAAACTCAAAAACCAAACGCCCGACTAATGTACAAAGCAAAAAGAAAAACACAGCACTTCACGTCTACTATTTAATTAGAGGCTTAAGAAAATGAAAACAACACGTTATAAAATTGATGCGTCCGAAGCGCTTTTCTGGATTGAATTTCATCAGGAACGCTCAAAGCCGAATATTAGAACGCCAAGGATGTATAAGGACCGAACAACGTTGCAGAGCTATAAACCAAAAAGGACATAAGTAATAGCCAAATCCACCTAAGGCCAACCTTACATTAAGGAGTTGAAACCTTGGTTATAGTATAATTTCAAAACTTATAAACGAGAAATTTTAGATAGTTTGTTTAACATGTAATAAGAGCGTAACCATGTTAAAGACAACCACTTCTTGTGATAAACAATGTTTATCCCAAGAAGTGCTTGTCTTTAACATGGTTACGCTCTTACCTAATGAATTTAGTATGAAGCTTTTTAAGACTATTCAAAGGATCAGAGCTGAAATTTATTAAGTCAATTTTGTTAGAGGAGATACAGTCATAGTTCAAATATCATTTCAAAATGTATTGTTTATCATCGTTTGTGAAATTTCTTGTTATAATAAAAGGTCGGCTTGCAAAGAGTTACCATCTTTAAATGATATAAACTACATGATACATGTACATTTATCAAATACTTAATTACACATACAATACTCACACTTGCTTTTGCTGGAAAAGGGTCATATGTGTGGTTTTCATATGGTTTTCATATCTTGGATGAGTTTACTAAAAGTTTATACTTATCGCCATATTGATTTGAAGCATTCATATGAAATTCATGACTAATATTTAACAGAAGTAATATGCAGAACAATAAATCAACCAACAATGTACGCTGAGGTAATATCTACGGTAAATCAAATAAACCTAATCCGTGAATTTCGTATAATGATACCAGTTTTTGGCATGGTACGGGTTATATTGGTCTCGTAAACATTACGATGGCATGATACCAAACCCAGAACGGGAGGTATCATGGCTGATTTTCATATGATGGAAAAAATCTTTTGATAAGTTTAATTGAGGTCTGGATATGGCATATCAGTAACTGATAGTAGTCCTTTGATAATATATGTCATTTTGCCTATTTTCTTCTGATTAAATTGAGAATGGAATTAGGGAATGTGTCAAAGAGACAACAACCCGATCAAAGAGCAGAAAACAGCCGAAGGCCACCAATGGGTCTTCAACACAGCGAGTTAATTCCGCACCCGAAAATATGTACTAGTTCAGTGATAATGGACGTCATACTAAACTCCGAAACATATTAGTGAACTATAATTAAAAATCATACAAGACTAACAAATACCATAGGCTCCTGACATGGGATAGGCCCAAAATGCGACAGGGTTAAACATGTTTTGTGCGATCTCAACCCTCCCCTATACCTATGGCCAATGTAAAAAAACAAACCCACAGCGATACACACAGTAAATCTCAGTTTAAAAGAAGTCTGAGTCCGATGTCAGAATAGGTCGCAAAAGAAAACTAAGCAAAATGACAATGATACATAAATTACATAAAGGACTGCTAGCAGTTAGTAGGTTAGCTTTTTAGGTGAATGCCGACATGTTTGTGCTTTTAAACGAATATTACCATACAAGGTTGGATGTGAAATACCTGATCATGTAAGATGTCTGCATGTTGATTTGTATTTGCGAATGCTGTCTTTGTACCGATTATAAAATTTAGTAAATGTTTTGACTAGTTTATGATATCGAAAACCCTGGTATAATAATTTTTCAGTAATACATAGATTTCTTTCTTTAAAATCTAATACGTTGTTACATACGCGAGCGAATCGAACACGTTGAGATATATATAAATACCATAAGATGGTGACAAGGGAACGTCACCATTGAAAAATGGATAATTAACAATAGGAAATGAAAAATCATCGCTTTTCTCATAAATTTTGGTTTTAAGCTTCCCGTTAATGATATAGATATCAAGATCCAGGAAAGGGCAGTTATCATTGTTACTGATAGCTTTATTTAAAGTTAGTTCAACAGGATAAATCTGTTTAGTGTACATACAGAAGTCGTCATTATTGAGAGCAAATATATCATCCAAATGTCTAAAATTATTATTTAATTTTTGTATCAGATGTTGTTTCGATGGGTCTTTGCTGATTGTAGTCATAAATTGTAACTCATAACAATACAGAAACAGGTCCGCAATAAGTGGTGCACAGTTAGTTCCCATTGGAATTTCGATAACTTGACTATATACGGAATCTTCAATGCGAACACAAATGTTATCTAGTAAAAATTCAAGTGCAGTTATAGTATAAAAGCAGGTCAAATTGACATAGTTCTTTTGTTTGTTGTAACTAAAAAGTGACCTTAAAGAGTTTGAACATATACTTTCGCATCGACTTTTTCAATACCCACTTAATTAGGTGTGTGAATGTTTTCATAATAACAATATGAGGCAAAGTGGTATATAAGGTAGAAAAATCAAAACTTTGAACAGATTAAAAATCAATATAAGTATGCAATTTATCAAGTACTTTCAATTTTTGACACTCCAGAAGTACCAAGTGTTCTAGTAAGTAAAATAGACAGTTTAGCAGTGGAACTATGGTTTGAAGACGAAAACAAATCTATATTTGTACGGAGTGAGTCGTGGATGTTGTTACGACACTCATTCCAATTAATAATTGACGGTGGACGATATTACGGTCCTTTACTGAGGAATGATTTCAACTCTCGGTCACGAACGATGTTAAGGTCTCCTGTTATAATATGGGAACTGGGGTCATACATGTATTCGGAATTACTGCAATTTCATGACGTCACTGATATTAACATCTTTACAAACTTTGATATAATTAAACACATATTTCCGAGTAGATTTTTTTGTAAACATAACAAATAAGAGGGAGTTGAGTTTTATCAAAATATCCAGGATACTTATTCTAACATCTTAAACCTTTTCACTAAATTTTACTGTGCGTTTGGGTGTGTGCTTGTTTATTCCACATTAGCTAGAGGTATAGGCAGAGATTTCACAAAACTTTTTAAACATTGCTGCATATTTGACTCTATCACAAATCAGTCACCTTTAACCTGTATTAGTCTTGTGTAATATTTAATTGTGGTTCATTTGTATGTTTCGGAGTTTATGTGGCGTCCATTTCCCTGAACTAGAATACATTATTGTCTAAGGAACAGCTGGAGCCCGCCTCTGGGTGTTGGATTTTTTGCTAAGTTGAAAACCCATTGGTGGCATTGGACTGTTTTCTGTTCTTTGTTCGGGTTGTATTCTTTCACACCCGTTTCTATTCTCTATTCTATAAGGATTGTTGATTTTTCAAAAATTATAGTAAGTTTAAATAAAAGATATTATATAAATTTGTAATTCCCTCAAATGTGTCGATTATTAATAATTTCGTTTGGCGCGAATAGCTAGTAATTCATTTGACAATGGGTAAAGTACAATGGTATGTTATGTATTGGACATAGGAAAATGTATATAGTGTATGATGAAATGATTTATGGTTTACGGTTTATGGTTTATGGTGTATGGTGAAACAGTGCACCTGTCCTAAGTCAGGAATCTGATGTTCAGTAGTTGTCGTTTGTTTATGTGGTTCATAAGTGTTTCTCGTTTCTCGTTTTTTATATAGATTAGACTGTTGGTTTTCCCGTTTAAATGGTTTTACACTAGTTATTTTTTGGGGCCCTTTATAGCTTGCTGTTCGGTGTGAGCCAAGGCTCCGTGTTGAAGACCGAACCTTGACCTATAATGGTTTACTTTTATAATTGTGAATTGGATGGAGAGTTGTCTCATGGGCACTCATACCACATCTTCCTATATCTATGGTGAAATGGTGAATGTGAAAAAGTGAATGGTTAATATTGTAAAGGTGTATGAGTAAGTGGTAACTGTATGGACTATACCATAATAACTGTTTTGTTTGATTGAATGTTCCATGGCTTTAAAATATATATAAAAATGAATCATAATATTTCAATTGTGAAAAAAGGAAAATCAAGGACAAAAAAAAAGCCATGAAAAATTATCACAATTATGAACATTAACGAGGCAAGACAGATGTATGTTTTTTGAGAACAAACGATTACATAGTGCCTTTGTCATTTTCATAATCGCTTTTCAGTGTTATTCTCAGGGTAAGTTAAGTTGATCTGGCGACCTTGGATTATATACTAATAACTTAAACTCCAATCACGACATAAATAACTGCAAGTAATTAACCTCTTATGAAAGGTGACAAAAATATTTAATCCGCTGGTCACAAATCAGAATATACCCAGATATTTGACCTCTTAGAATGTCAGTAATTGGGGTAATTCAGTTGGTTATATAAAATAGCATACATGTATATAAGACACATTTATCTATCAGGGTCTAGGGATTTTGATTTCAAAACCTACCTACACGTTCCAATGATTACTATTGACGTCCTACATCATAAGTCCTGATTAGTTTGTAATTTTTACATTCCCATATGACAACCAAGCAATCGCTAGATTTATAGTATTTGTACTAATTCCATCTAATAAACTACGTACATTGTATTCTGTATGAGTTACACCAAGTTCTCATAGAAGAGACTGGTGATATCAAAGGGACAATGACAGATCATGTATTGGAGAGAAATATACATATAAACGATAAAAATAACCGAAAAATGACGAAAAGATTAACATCAGACTTAAATACGTTAAATAGATAACTTGAGACTGAATTTAAATTCATGTGAATTTCAACTTAAACGAGCTTAAA